TTAAAATTGTGCATTATCCAAAATGCACACCATACTAATAAAAGGGTAAAAGAAATTCCCTGGTAGGCCAAAGGCCGAAGCACTAGCAGCTCATGGGGTACTCAGACTTCTCCCGAGCTTGGTCTTTCGTGCGGGTACCTCACACTTAGTTCCAACCATCTGCTTCGTTATTGCATCCTTCTAATAACTTTGCTTTCCATGCTCCTAGAAAATCAAAAATCGGCACTACAAAAATAATACAATAAAAAAAATTATCAAAAAAATGAAACAAAGCAGTAAAGTTGGGTTGCCTCCCAACAAGCGCTTGATTAAATGTCGAGGCATGACGCGAATCACTTTTTGCCTCCACTTCGAACGTATAAATTGGACCCCAAATTTTGATTCTGCTCTATGATCATACTCCTAGGTGGTGGAACAAATTTGACTGGCCCAATAAAACAATGTAGTATTCTGCACTTCTTGGCCTTTGGATGAGATGTTTATTCCCGACTTTCTGGCAAGAAGCATTCCAGAATGTAGGCACCTTGTTCCTCATTCCTTCACTCCTCAAGTGGCTCGGACGACTCCATTTCCATATCATCATCCAAACACAATGTGAAAAAATGCTTGGAGTGTGAACCAATGCGCTCAACTACAAGAACATTGGGATTGTCTATATTCTCAATACTAATGACAATAGAGTCAACTAAATATGTATCCTCAATATCCTTGGTTGACTCTAGTATCTCTTCTACAACATCGACATCCTCAAAATCTAGTGCGATTGATTGTTGGTGTTCTACTCTGGCCTTCTCCTCTAGCTCATCCTCGTATTTTTTTAAATCCTCCAATATAATGACAATTTCTGCAACCAATTCATGCTCATATTGGCTACTATCCACAATATCAACTTGTTGCGCTTTACAAGGTTCAATTAATTTATTCGCTTGTCACTCCAAGTTGTGAATAGTTGCCTCTTGCCTTTGTATCTGCCGTGTTCTCTTATCATATAGTTCCATGCAACACTTTAACATATCTTTGATCTCTTTCCGGTCATCATCCCTGAGTTCTTTGTTCCTATTAACTTTACAAGAAAAAAAAGAACTATCAAAGTAAGGGGTTGGGGGAAGATAAGAACTATAAGCACAACCATGAAAGTGACCATCTTGACCACCACATATATCACATACATTCCACATATAAGATTGAGTTGGTGCACATAACTCGCTCTTGGGAATATTTTGATAATTTTGCCTTGGGTGGTTTCCTCCACAATATCAATGAGGATCAAAATTAGAATTATCAACATCAAAACTCTCATCATTCTAAGATACCATGTTTTTTTAAAAAAATAACAAGTAAAAAAAAAGCAAATACAAGAAAGCAAAAATAAAAATTCAAACTTGCAACCTAGCAATATATACACCTACAGTTAAACCGTTAGTTCCCCGGCAACGACGCCAAACTTTGATCACGCCCAACTATTCCTTATAAAAAGGACAATGCGATCGTTGCAAATATAATCTGGTTTACAAGTCCGGAGTCGAATCCCACAGAGAACTAAGGCTTAGCTACAGTTGTTCACTATCACCAAGAATACAAGCTTGAACAATTCCTAACTTGTAGATATTAAGATTCTTGTGTTTAACTAACTAACTAACAAATTAAAATAATAAATTAACACTAAAGATACTATAGGTTGGAGAAAAGATTAAGGAAGTCTAGAGTTATGATTTCCCCAATTATCGGAATCCTTTCCGCTATGTCTTCTATAATTTCGCCTATGTATTCTCTACCGATCATGAGCGCTTTGCGTGTTGTAATTCTCTCCTGAGTAATTACGATAATTTACTAGACATACTCTCCCGAGTTACGCTAGCTGGCTTTAATTGCAGCTCACTTAGATCGCACCCAAGGTTTCGTTATCCCTAATCCCACCTTTAAACTCTTAATTATTGATTCCTCACATATGTCGGGAGTGATGTTGTTCAACAACTACATAACTATGCACTCTCTCCCGAGTAATACATACTAAATAGGCACAGCTAATTGATGTCCCTTCAATCAACCACAAAAATAATATAGTTGAACAAATAGAGAAAATACTACGGCTTAATTCTATAAAAACATAACAAGAATTTATCCTACAAAAGGTTCTATCAAAACCCTAGATAGCAAATTAGCTATTCATAATAGTATGTAAAACTACAATACTAAAAGTCATAACCAACAATGAAAAATAGGAAGAGGAAGGAAAAAGTCGTAGAAGAATTCCCCGCCTTGCTCTTATTGTGTCTCTGCCTCCTTAGGTCGAATCTGTGTCAAAAATTGGTTTCCTCTCCTCAAAATACCGTTTTTCCATGTATATATACCAAGTAGGGTCGGGCCCAAACAATTATACCTTATCCTACACCAAAAAGGACAAGTTTCTAGGCCTGGACGTCCGCGACCGCAGTCCGGGCGCGGTACTTTCCTAGTGTACTGCCTTAGTCCGCGTCAGATCCGCGGTCGCGGTTTCAACCGCGTTTTTTATCCTGTTCCCTTTGGCATTTTGGAAAAACGTAAAACATGAATGTTGTAGTCCTTTGAGTTAGCTTTCCAACCATATATTGTGGAGCCCAAACAGAATTCTGAACGAAAAGTTATGTGCATTTTACTAGACAGTATGCAATATGCCTACTCGATTCTTCATTTTGTTGCTCTATCATTCGTTAATCCCCGAATACGATCCCGGCTTAATTCCTTGGGCTTTTACTCAGAATTCAAAGCTCCAAATCACTTGAATTCATTCCATAACTTCTACATAGCTCGGAATCACCCTTACAAGGCATAAAACACACAATTAGTGCAAAACACTAGCGATTAAAGCTCAAACTCAATTAATTTACTTCAGCCTCAAATTAGACGTACTTCCAATTTAAACAACTTCACTAGAAAAATAATTCTGAAAGTAGTAGTGTGAGTGTGAGAGAGAAAGAGAGAGGAGGAAAACGAAGAGAGGGACCTTTCTATATGAATGTATAGGAGTACATGTTGTCTCACTCTATCAACATCTGCCATATTGGCCCCTGATATTTCTCCATCGTTTCTCTGCCACAACTCTTACGCCTTTCTGTCTAGATTCCTTTTCTGCTAAAATAATTCTGCCATGCAACATGCAACCCTTCATACCCCTATAGTAAAGCTAAAGGTTCCTTTCCTTTCTTCTCTCTGTCCCTTTCTCTATCTAGACTACTATACCCACTCCAACTCCTTGCTATACCTTACGGAGTGAACCATTTTGCATGTCTCTCATTTTCTCCCCTCTTCTTCTTCCCACCATATGGACCATTCTTTTCTTACTTTTTTCTTTTATCGACTAGTTCGGATTAACGCCATATATAGTTGATTAAAAGAGAAGCGTTTCCTACTAAGGATTTCCTAAATTTTCGAAGGTCTCGTATCCGATACATCTGATTAAGGATGAAGAGATTTCGTCTATGCCCACTACAATTCTGTCATTTCCTTCCTTTCTTCGGATTTGGGTAATTAGATAGCGTTACACCCTTTTGCTTTCTCGTGATTTTATTCTATACATGTTCTGAGAGGTACAGAAACAGTAAAGGTTCCTGAAAACACATCCTCTTTTTCTATGGATTATTCAACTACTATGAACCGAAAAAACGGAAGAACAATAGAAAAGACAAAGACACTAGGGACAGACTCGAAAGTATTCGATTAAAAGGTAGTTAGGCTTCAGAGAAGAGAATTAGATCCCCATTTTAACCATAGAAAAGAATGTTACAACGAGTCGAAACTAAAAACTTTGATTGTAATTCGTAGGAGGAAGAATAATAGCACCCACCCACCTAGTGGCGAAACCATGAATTCTTTTTAGGATGTTTAAATTTGAAAGAAGTAAAAAAAATCTATAATAAATGGTGCTCAATATATGTTATATACATCTAAAATCTAATATTTTACTTATATACACAGTATAATTTTCCGACGAACGCTTCGCCCATGCACCCACCCCAACCTTCACTCTTCTTCTTCTTCAAAAAAAGTTATCAGAATGAATGTCGATGGGATTGGAACCCTATACTAGAGTGAAGATGAAACTATTTGATTACAACTTTTATATCATTCTAATTCATTTAATTTGTTTTGCGAAGCATCCAAATTTAGTCTACCTTCACATCAAGGCTACCCATAGACATATTTCAACCAGTTGGAATCTTTCTTTGTTTTCCCATAATCATATCAACCAAAGGAGAAAAAGTGAAACAACTAAACGAAAAGCCAATGAGACTATGAGACATGAGAGGCCAAGTTACTATGTCTTAAATAAAAATAGAAATAGAAGGGGAAGAACATAATGTTATGAAATCTTTTTATACTAAGAGTGACTCATCTTCTTCCTAGTCTATCTTTTAGGCATCCACTAACAAACATCATTCATGTCTATATATACTTCTTTTTCTTCTAAATAACAAGAAGCATTTAAGTCAGACGTGAAATGATGAAACATGATGTTGCTTCGATTACCATTATATATAATATAATGTCCAAAACTATTTGACTTTGGCAAAAAATAATGGAACATTATTTAATGAAGAAAACAAAATATTACTACTAAAATAACATCAAATAGCTGGTTATTGAAGATCAAATAGGTTGAGGTCACGACTAGGTATAGTCCACTCGGAAATAGAACAATGAGGCATGACTTTTTTTTTTGGTTTTCCAGTATTAAAAAATGAAACGCAAACAAATTGACTAAATGCTTAAGAAAAATAATTCAAAAACTTTAGCATTAACGCATGTCTTCAAAAAGTGGATCCAAATATATTGCCCGAAAAAGAACAAAATTTATTAAACTAAAAAGAAGCAAACACGTCGCAATCATTTACCATTATGAAACTTTGCTGTATATAGTTGACCTCGAACCTGGCACTTTATGAAAGATCATTCCTGCAATTTCCATAGATCACAAAAACCATAACAAAGGAGTAGAAGCACATAGAAAAGAAAATGGATTACACAATAAATATATTTTAAAATAATGGGTTGTTTTGTCTTTCCTTAGGAAAAAACACATTAACAAGTAACAACTACATAGTTTATATTATACGACCAAAACAAACTTCTATTAAGGAAAAAAAAAGATTAAAAGGAAAAGAAAAGACAAAACAAATCAATATTTCATGTTCTTATTTTTTTTTTTTTAAGGGGAGCCATTTTCGGATCGATCAAAGTGGAGAAGTTGACCACAACATTTGGGGCAATCTTCAACTTCTTTAGGCACCATGAAATACATCAAACAGCTTTTGCAACCACCAACAACTAATACTGCTGCCCCACTTTTGCCACTGCTGTTGCCAATATTATGGCTAATTTGGGGTTCTCTTGAAGATGAAAATGATGACTCTTCTGTTGAAGATCCTTCATCACTATCATACGAGCTTTCTTCTTCTTCTGAGTACAAATCACCACCGTACACTTCATCACCATTTGTTCTTGGATCTTCTTTCACTTTCATCCCTGTCCTCCAGTTTATATAATATATTTCCCCTGTCTGTACCACAACCCATATATTCAAGAAATCCACCCATATTTCAGAGTTAAAAATAATGCAGAACAAAGTAAACTGCACCACTCTGTCAAATTTGGCTTTACATGGTTAAAGATAATTTATGCCAGAGAACAAAATAATGAATAAAGGACACCATAGAATAGTACTAGTAGTAGTAATATTGGTAAAGATGAATAGATAACATCATTTCATACTTAATAGTCTCGAGTTCGAGCTTTAAGAATTAAAAAATATTTATATAAAGCGCTTTCACATTTAATAGACCTGCGAAATCCAAATTACGGGAAGGGAAGCTCAATACAAATACACCATGCGACAAAAAACACCAAAAAAGATAATGAGAAGCAAGAAAAGTTCACCTTTTGCCTTTATAAGGGTTTGAAAAGGAAATGGAAAAAATCACCTTTTAAGAATGAGGGGATTGTAATTAATTACATCATTCTTTTCGTTTACTGTTTGTGTGTGAAGGAGATAGCTAGAATAGAAGGGAAATAAATGAAGCAGACAACTGACCAAACACAAGAAAGAACATGAATATAACAAGTTAAAGTGAAATGGTGTGCTAATAATGAAATCCAAGATCTGGTCTTTAAGGTTAGGAGAGCAATAAATGTCAAGAAAAAGACAGAAAAACAAATGATTGTGGTATGCAAAAATAAAAACAAAATTAGTTGGAGAGAGAGGGCATGTAAATAGTAGGTACCTTCAAATCCAAACATTGTTCCCAGTGGTAAGGCAAAGAAATCTCAGAATTGAGGTCTAAGGTAGCATCATCAGAAGGGTTGTTATTCAAAACATGATTTTCCGATGAATCAGAAAATCCATCTGCAGGGGTGACCCCACTCAAGTTGTTGCTGTGGTGGTTATTCAATGAACAATTTTGGAGAGATCTCTCTAAGGAAGCTGTGATAGTAGCCATATTTGGACCTGTCATTCTTGTTTAATTCAATAAAAATCCCCAAACAAACAAATAATTTATAAGGTTCTATGCCTACCCAAAAAAAAACAATTTGATAATGAAGGTTGATGAGTTTTATGGTGGGAGGACTCAGGGATAAAAAAAGAGATAAAAAGAAGAAGAATTATGGTAATAGTAGTAACTTGGTTGGGGGAGAAGAGAGAAAAAGGGAGAGAGGAGAGACCAGAAGAGAGTGGGAATCTTTGAAACGAAAGAGAAGAGGAGTACAAGTACCCCACCTGATAGCTGATAGGACCAGTCTCTCCAATTTTCTTTTTTTTCCTCTATCTTTCCCACTCCCACGCACTTTGCCTTTCCTCCTCCAATACCCCTTATTTTTCTAAAATCTCACCCCGCATGCAGCTCACGTGACCCAACATTAATTTCTTTACCCACTTTAATTGATTTTTTCCCACGTATTAAGGAATCCACCTGTTAGCATTAATTAACAGATCATATTAACCTTAATCTGTTTCTTGAAAACATAACAAATACTCTCAGGCCTCATTTGTTTTTCTTAAGATTAAGATGTTTGAATCTGAATACACGTCTGAATATCAAGATGTGTATTAAAATTAAGACATCTAAATGTTAAGATGTGTATTAAAATCTGAATACTAAATAATTAAGATTGTTTGATTTTTAACATCTGAATGTATAAAATTTATGTTTATTTGGAAATTAATAAACATAAAATTCAAATAAAATACTAACTAATCTAATATTACATCACTAAAATATATAGCTTTTTAAAATATGATAGTTGCTGGTGGTGATGGCTAACGGTAGTGCTTGTGAATGCCGACTAAAAGCGGTGGTTAGTGGTAGATTTGGTTGATAGTGGTAGTTTAGGGTAGTAGCTAGTGGTGACTGGTAGTGGTAGCTATTATGATTGAGGATGGTGGTGCTGGTGGGTGGTAGATGGTGATAGTTAATAATGGCGGGTGGTGGTGGTAGTAGTTGTGATTGAGCAAGATGGTAGTGGGTGGTGGTAGTTTATAATGATTGGTAGTATCAGCTATGGTTATTGATGGTGATGGGGTGGTTAGTTCTGGTAGTTGAGGTGAATGAGTATTGGTTGTGTTGAGAATGATGGTGATGGGAGTGGTGGGGATGGTGGGTAGTGGCAGTCGACAATGGTGGCGGCTATGATTGAGGATGGTGGTGGTGGTGGTGATTGAGTATGGTGGTGGTTGATAATGATAGGCGGTGGCAGCAATTAATGAATATGGATAATAGCATCTTAATGAAATTAAGTCTCTGTTACAGTTCTTAATGATACAGACCTATTCAGACCCATTAAGTGGTTGTGAAGTAAAAAAACAAACACACTTAATGATTAAGATCTAAATAATTAAGATTCAGACTTTAAAAATAAACACACTTAATGTCTGAGATCTGAATGATTAAAATTCAAACCTCTATTAAGTGCAAACAAATGAGGCCTCAGACTCTTTACTCCAAAGGCAACTTTGGAAAGAAAGGTTAATTTTTTCTTGATATCTAAAAAAATTAAATATTATAGACTACAAAAAAAGTTTAAAAATTAATTAAAGTAGACCGGATGGAGTACTATTTTTTTCCCTTTCTTTTGAGTTTAAATTTCATCTACCAAAGGATCGTTTGGTCTCGCATACAAAAACAGATAATTCACAGAAAAATTATGCATAACTAATATTCACATTATAAACTCTTCTTAAGTAATGTAAGAAGTATCTATTTTTTGGTAAAACTTAATACTGCCATAACTTAATCGGTATCCATGAATTATTTGATCTGAAAGAATATATAGAATAAAAGTTGTGTACTAGTAATAATTTTGATTAAACCAAAAAAGACAAAATTACCCTTAGAGGTCGTTTAGTAGAGGTGATACATTAAATCCCGCGTAACTTAATGTTGTTATTAGTATTATTTATACAAATATTAATTATTCTTAGACCATCAACGAACAAGCAATAATTGATCTAGTTTCCCTTTTCTACTCTGTAGAATACCTTGAGCTGTATTCCGAGAAGAAACTCAATTTTAGCATATTCTTTTCCTTTGAAAATAAGTTTATGTATTTGGGTGAGATAGGTCGATCTTTAGAGACAGTAAACGTTAACAATATTACGAGTTGCATGTGTTTTCCAATATAATCCAAATACTACATATTTTACGAGTATCATTCATATTTCCTTTTTTATNTATATATATATATATATATATATATATATATATATATATATATATATACACACACACACATAAATTTCTTAATGTAAAATCAAGAAATGTTGATCTTTTGGATACTAAAATTTCTAACCATTCTTAGCTTGTGGTTTTGGGTTAAAGCGGCCAAAAGATACTCTTAACATAGTGTGATATTGTCCGCTCTGGACCAAGCTAAAAAAACTGGTATCAAAGCTAATTATTTGGCGGGGACGAGTATGGAGATGTCGGAATGTTGCATTTGCCCGTCTACATGTCGTTTTACGATCCTTACCCGTAGTTTTAAAGATGCATACACAACCTTTGGGCTTCAGTGACTGTAATTACTCGGATCATGCGGGTGGCTGTTAGATTTCTACCATAGAAGCTCAATTGGGAAAGGAGGAAATGTTCTTTTTTTCATTAACTGAAAATGATAGCCTCTTTACAAATATTTATCAACTAACTACTAATTAGTTAACATTATGCTAAATAACAAATAGCTACCACTAACTTCTAATATGTACAAGTTGACCCCTATGCTAACTAGTTGTATATACACATCACTCCAACACTCCCGCTCAAGCTCGAGGGTGCAAAATGTTTAACACTCCCAGCTTGCCAAGTAGATAGTGATGTTGCCCTGAGCTCAATCCTTTAGTAAGCAAATCTGTCTGTTGGTCCTTAATATGCACCTACTTAGTCTCCAATAATCCTTGCTTGATCTTCTCCCAGATGAAATGACAATCAATTTCAATATGTTTGGTTTTCTCATGAAAGATGGGGTTTGCGGCAATTTGCATTGCAGCTTGTTGTCAGAATAGAGAGGAAATGGTGTTTTTAATGAGATTCCTAAGTCATAGAAAAGTCCAGTTAGCCACACAATCTCTGCAACTGCAGATGTCATGCTTCTGTATTCTGCTTCTATACTGCTTCTGGATACTGTATGCTGCTTCTTTGATTTTCAGGAAATCAAGGAGTTGCCAAACTTCACAATATATCCACTAATTGATCTTTTAGTCACAGGGTAGGCTGCCCAGTCTGAATCACATAATCTCAGCAATGTATCTTTAGGCTCCCTCTGTATTAGAACTCGCATGCCAGGTGCTAACTTCAAATATCTGACTACTCTAAATGTTGCATCCATGTGGGACTTCTTTAGGGCTTGCATAAACTGACTAAGAGTCTGCACAGTATAACTTATGTATGGTCTAGTAACTATCAGGTACAGAAGCTTGCCTATGAGTTTCTGATATCCTGTGACATCTACCATAGGATCATCAACCTATATTCCAACTGATTATCATATTATACTGAGGTCAGTTTTAGATTGATTTCCGATGGTGTAATTGCAGGTTTTGCTCCACTTAATCCTAACTCTGAAATCAACTCCAAGGTGTATTTTCTTTGATTCAATAGAATGCCTTGTTGTGATCTCAAAATTTTTATTCCTAGGAAGTACCTTAATTCCCCTAGATCTTTGACCTTAAATTGTTGATGCAGAACCTTTTTGGCTTCATCAATCATAATATTGCTTCTACCAGTAATAAGTAGGTCATCAACATATATCAGAATTATAACAATATCATTTTCAGATTTCTTGGTGAACAGGGAGTAATCAAAAGCACTTTGATGGAAACCTGCATTTAATAGAGCTTCTGTAAGCTTTAGGTTCCACTGCCTTGAAGCTTGTTTAAGTCCATATAAGGACTTTAGTAATCTGCACATTTTTGTCTCCCCTACTTTTAAAATCCCTGTGGAAAATCCATATACACTTCTTAATGTAAATCTCCTGGAAGAAAGGCATTAAACACATCCATTTGATGAAGCTTCCAATCTCTAGAAGCTGAAATAGCTATGACAGATCTCACAATTATCATTTTTGCAACTAGTGAGAATGTCTTATGATAATCTAATCCTTCCTGTTGATTGTATCCCTTTGCCAAAAGCCTAGCCTTGAATCTTTCTACCTCACCATTTGACTTATACTTGATTGTTTACACCCATTTGGAACCAATTGTGGATTTCTCAGCAGGTAAAGAAACTATCTCTCAAGTCTTGTTATCCTCTAAAGCCTTCACTTCTTATTGCATTTCTTCTATCCATCTCTTATATTTGACTGCTTTGTTGAATGAATTAGGTTCCTTCATCACTGAGAATGCATGTAGATAGTCCATATAGTTTTGTGAAACATTGTCATAGGATAAGTAGAGAGAGAGAATAAGCACATTGTGAGGACTTTGGCATCATTGTAACATAGTCCTGCATCCATATATGTGGTTGTTTGACTCTAGTGGATTGTCTAATGTTTGCAGAAGAACACTCCTCAGATATTGGCATTCCATGTAGAATAGGAACTATCAGGCTTTCTTCAGCAGTATTAGCAGCATTGGTTGGTTCCTCTGGTAGGTTTTCAGATGTTGTGGATATAATGTCCGCTTCTAGTTGTCCTGTTTCATTAGAAGCATGTTGGTCTACTGAATTCTCACTTGTGTCCTCTGCTGTTTGATCCAAAAAGGCAATCAGATCATGTACTTCATTTACTTGATCATGCTCTTCAAGATTAAATGCTACTGCAACAGGTCTGTTACTCTGTTGTAAACATAAGAAATTCTTGGTTTTGCTGCACTGTGTGTAGATCAATCCATATTTGTGATCCTCTGAAGGGAAACATTGATTCTCTGAATGTGACATCTCTACTAACAAAGAAACAATTAGTTTCTAAATCTAGCAGTTTATATCCCTTTTGTGTAGAAAAGTATCCTAACAAGACTGCCTTTTTTGCCCTAGGTGTAAACTTGTTCTCCTTCACTAAATTTGAAGCATAGCATAAGCACCAAAAACTCCTAAATGAGCTAGAGATGGTTTTCTTTTGCGCAGTAACTCATATGGACTCGTGCCACCTAACACCTTAGAAGGCAATCTATTTATGATATAAACAACAGTCTGCACGCACTCACCCCAAAATCTCTTTGGTAAATTTGCTTGAAACTTTAAAGCCCTTGCATTATCTAATATGTTCTGTGCTTTTCTCTCTACAACTCTATTTTATTGTAAAGTGTAAGTACAACTACTCTGATGAATCACCCCCTGAT